ACACACACACACACACACACACACACACACACACACACACACACACACACACACACACACACACACACACACACTACCCCCCCCCCATCCTAGGTTTGAAAGAGGAAACAGAGACAAGGAAGAGTGGAAGTAGGTTATGTTGTTGTGTTCTTATTTGTGAGAACACTGACGTCCTCCGGGTCCTCAGGGACATTTTGTTCAAGGCCACATCGAGATGGCAGACAGCAGTTGAGCGGACCTGATAGCACAGATCAGCACAAGATGACAAAGGAAGAAAAACATTATTTGGAAACAATCAGCGTGCTATCGCAGATTTAGATTTAGACGCTCACAGCGATGCTGACTGGAAAACATTTGAAGAGATTTGGAAAACTCTCTATTCATGTKATGTGGGAATGACACCTTGTTTCACACGCTCACACCTGGGGGCTGCAGTGGTGCTCTGTTCAAGGACACCTCACCGCTGTTTCTGTTGTTCAGCCCCCCTCAGTCAGCGTGTGCAGACAGGTAGTAAATCTCCAGGACTTGGGCAGATATATTCTTTTAACTCTCATATTTTGGAGCTTATCCAAGGAGCAGCCTAATGATTTGTTTAGAGGTGCTGACACCAAGGTTGTTTGGGGCACTTTCTACTCAATTCTTCATTTAGCTGAAAGACTATTTCAGCTTTCCCCTTTGGTAGACAGACTGAGAAATGGATCAGTGCCGTGTTTGTAGTTTGTATCCAAAAGGTGATCATGTTGTTGCCCATGACAAYGTGGGACTTTGTTTGTTTGTTTTGTGGGTCAGCAGTCCTCAATCAGCTGTGTCCAGATGGGCAGGAAATAAGTTTAACTTTTAAAATTAGCATCATTAGAAAGGCAGCCAAAGATCGGTAATAGAAAACTCAAACCTTAACTATAATTTTGAGTTTACTAAAAAATTTCACAAGTGCAAAACTTTTATTTTTATGCAATTCATCCCAAATTAAATGAAATCTATCCCCTCTTACAAGCAATGCTGGACRTGTTAGGCATTTTGTGTGTAGCATGTAGCATCTTTAGCAGCTAAACGTCGAACTAAGAGTGTCAAAAAGAAATTAAATTACATTTCACAGTATTTAAACACATTCAAAAATTGACTATGTACACAATATGATTCAGAAACTGTTTAACTTACTTCAAATGCTATTCATAATAACACAAACACAATCAATGAAATGCTCTTATTCTGAAAGGGCTAAACTGGAAGTATCACATGTTAGAGCTATAGATGACTCCACCCACTTTCAAAGTTACAAACATAGGTATTTATAAAGGCCAGATAAGTCATAGCAGAATCTCCGACGTCCTCACACGGCGGCCATCTTAGTACGGTTAGCAACACTAGCTGTAGCTGTGGTAAAAGCATTGAGGTGAGTGATTTACACACACAAAAATACGCGTAATTCACTGAAATCTTGATGGATTTACAAACGGCTTAGTTTATTATAAGCAGTATAAATGTGGCTATGATTTGGAGCAATCAGACAGCAGTTTTTCTTTTTTCAAATAGTAGTTAGTATTATTTAATATTAGTTAATAGAGGCACATCATATTAATAATTGCATGTGTTGGAAAAAACTGGGCATAAATTAGTTCATATCACCTACTATTACTATTTATTATGAAATATTATTACAATACTATTTATCAGCATTCAAAAATGTGTCAGGCAATTTTCCTGTGTATAAACATGCATTTCTAAATACATGTGAATATAATTTTACTGTGTATATTGCAGTTGCTTTATCTACAGTGTCTGCAGTGTTATTTACATGTGAATGTCCAGTTTAAGAAATGCTGTATTATAACATCTCTCATGTTTACCCTAAATTGTTTTAAAATCAGTTGAAGTGTGTGTGATGTGTGTGTGTGTGTATATATAAGTATGTATATATACACACAC